AGGATCATTGAGTTTGGGGGTCTGAGGAGGCTATGTGCTTCCACCACGGCAGTGGGCGGTCTGGAAGCTGACTGCAGAGGGCTGCCAGGGCTGAGGGAAGGTACGACTGACCAGCAGAGCGTTTTCGTCTCCTCCGTCACTTCCCATGTAGGAGTCTGTTAAGGATGGAGGGTGTCCCGTGATCAGAGGAAACAAGAGAATGAGGGAAGCATCCTAACCAGAGAGCCAGTGTGGTCCAGGAGGGAAAACACTGGAATGAGCCACAAGAGACCGCTGTTTAAACCTCCTCCCCACTATGCAGTGCTGGGCACACTTGCCCCTTCTCTGGGCGTCAGGTCCCCCATCTGCCAAATCTTGGTGAGGACCAGTTGCTCTTGAAGGGACCTTTCATCTGTAATATCAAGTGGCTCTAAGGACACCTTGGGCACAGCCTGTGGTAAGAAATGAGCTGCCGTGTGGCCTGAAGATGGAAGGCATAGAGTACGTAAGAAACTGACCAACAAGGTCATCCAAGAGTCTCCACAGCTTCCTGGTAAGAAGTAATTTAATCTTTTTTTGTAAAAGCTAAGATGAGAAAGAAAGGAAGTAACTTTATAATGGAGAAACATGACAAACATTCCCTCAGCCCAGTGCACAAGGTCAACGCAACACTCTCACAAGTCACGCTGACGGTCAGGCCTTTGGAGGTGATATGATGGGCACTCTTTGATCTTCCTGCCCGGAACTCCAGGCTTACAATGAGAAAAATGCCAGACTATCCCAACAGAGGAAGCCTTGTGAGGGGGCACCTGACCAGTGCATCTCCAAACTATCAAGGTCATCAAAACCATAAAAGTCTGAGTTTTCACACCCAAGGGGAGCCTAAAGAGACCTGAAGATTCACTGTGATGTGGGGTCCTGGATGGGATCCCTGAGCAAATGAGGAACATCAAAGATAAAAACAAAAGAAATCTGAGTTATGTGTAAAGACTAGCTCATTCAGGGTAACGTATGATGATCCTGACATCAGATGTTTCTAGCAGGAGAAACAAGGTGTAGGTATATAGGGACTTGGTATTATCCTCATGACTCTTTTATAAGTCTAACTAAAATTGTTCTAAAAATAATTTTTTAGCTGCTAAAATGTGTGAAGTTGTGGCAGATAGTTATATAAACGTGGGGAAACTGCAGGAGAGGTGTCGTATTTAAGCCCCTACAGGTTGCCCTGGGACTTGGGTGAATGTTAATTTTTTAGACAGCATATATGAATTCAGTTTGGAAATTGCTCCATTAAACTCTGAGAATCCAAGCAGGAAGAGAAAGTAAGAGTTTTGACAAAGATAACTAGAATAGCCTGGAATTGGGTGTCAGGGTGCCAGGTCCATGCCCACAGTTTAAGATACACCGTGCACAATCTCATGAATGATGTCACTGAGTGCCGAGGAGCACAAAAAGGGAGGCAGAATGTGACAGGCTGGGAGGGAATAGTGCTTGTGGTTAGGACGCCTGGATGTGCACCAGCTGCAAGGGCGCTGAACCAGCTGGGTGCTGCTGCCAGACTGTCCTTATTCCTTAAATGGGTGTGGGGCACAGCTGGCCTGGGGGATGGGTGAGGGTTAGTTATTGTGACACTGCTTACCACATACCAGGCTTTGGGCTAAGCAACCTCACAACCATCCTGAGAGGCTTTTGTTACTAGCCCCATTTTTCAGATTGGGAAACCCAGGGCCCATGAGGTCCTGTAAGTGCCCAAAGCCACATAAGGCCAGTTAACTGGTCGAGCTGGCTTTGACCCTGGGTTTGTCTCTTCTAAAGGCAGACAAACCAGGGGTCAAAGCCAGTGCTAAGTGTATTTAGAATAAAGTCTGTTCTCCACCATTTCATGGGCTGCCCTCCCTGAGACCCCAGCCACCGCTGACGTTCCACGGGCCACACTCTCTTTCTTTGAGGGTGTTTGTTTCCCAGTTAAGTCTCAGGCCTGGTCTCAAAATACAGCTGCAAATGAGGAGTGTGTCGCTCAGCCCTGCGCAGCTCCGGGGAGAGCAGCTTTCCAAGTCTCTCTGAAGAAGCTGAGAGCACTGTCCCGGCCAGGCACCCTCTCACGGTCCCTGGTGGTCCCCTTGGGATTCTAGCCTGTCTGGCCTCTTTTGCTGTCTTAACTAAGATGACAGGCTTCATGTGTTTTTTAAATTAAAATGGTTTCTGTTCATCTCTTTTCCAGATGTCACTACCTAGAGGGAATCTGTCTTTATTTATTGGCTCTTTCCTGTGCAGAATCCAAGGCAGTCTCCCTCCGGCTGAGACCTCGGCAAGGAGGCCACATGTGGGGAGTGACACGACCCAGGACGGCAGGAGCTTGGGAGCCTTGGGGGGCTCAGGACAGAGGTCATGGTGGAGACTGTGGGAGGTGGGCTGGCTGTGAGGACTTTCTCCTGGCCACGTGGCACACATGCTGCTGAGGGGAGGCGTGTGGCAGGGTCAGCGTGTCCCTGCTGGGCTGGGAGCTGTGGATTGATGAGGGGCATATGCAGCCTGTGCGGGTGTCTTTCATGCTGCCAACTGCAGTGAAGCAGAGCGAATGTTCCCTGTTAGACAGTAGACTGGGAACTGCCTGCCCAACTTCTAGGCAGTTTCTGGGTGACACCGTGGACTGTCCTCTCCTCCCTTCCCCCATCCTGAGCCAGGCATCTCTCAGGAGATAGTGGCTATACCTCTCTACGCAGTCTTTCCTGTCCACCCTCTCCCACCTGTCCTCCAGCAGCAGCCGGAAAATTCCATCGAAAAACTCCAATCTAAGCACATCTTCCACCCCTGCTTCTGCCACTCCAGGTCTCCCTTTCCTAACAGAATAAAGCCCAAACTCCCTGCTCAGCATGAGCCCTCCTCAAACCTGCCCCACCTCCTCCCCATGCTGGCCCAGCACCACACCCGACCCATACCCCACACCATCCCCTCTGCCTGGACCTGCAGCATTAGTGACTTTTTTGCTGGCAGGAGGACCCCCCAGTCGTGTCCTGTGAAGCGAAGCGGGCGTTGCACCAGACTGCTGCAGTCTGTTTATGGGCTGCTGAACTCCCTGTGTCACCCAGAGCCCCACCAGGGCAGGGGCCTGTCCAGCATGGTGTCTCCAGCACCCAGCATGAGTACAGCACAAAACAGGCCCTCCATGGTGCTGGCTGTCCACACGCAGAGGTGAGATGACGAGTGAGGCTGGTGCCGGCTGCACAGAGGCTGAGACACCTATGTTCCCAGCCTAGGATTCGGGATAGACCCTGCTCTCAGGACCCTAGGACAATACGCTCTGCTCCCAAGGGCTGTGTCCTCTGATATCCCCTCTTGTGGAACATAAGCGTCGGCGCTGAAATGAAAGGTCACCGTGTTCCCAAAGCAGATGGAAAGGCTTGGTTCCCTGACAGACACTCCAAGGGGGTGATGTTTAAGACACTGCATGTGTATTCCCACGGGGACACTTCTGAGTTGCTTCCTGACATTCCTCAGACTCCCCACTACCAGGTATGAGAGGTTGGGTTGGAGAAGCTCAGAGATGCACTGGGCACATATTTACCATGACCCGCAAGGTATGGGCCACGGGGCCGGGGCATAATGTGAGTAGGACAGGGCTTGCCCTTGGGAAGCCACCATTTCAGTGGGACAAGTGTCTCTGGGTATAAATGACCACCCCCCATGGTGGTGAGTGCTCAGTGTCCTGTGCACACTGCCAGTGAGGGCTGGGGTGCTGGGGGCACTGCAGAGACTGCTGGGGGAGGGAGGACACCATGCTCTGTAGAGAAGCCAGAGGTGAATTAGCTAGGCAGAACTGATAAGGGGCACAGTGCCCCAAAACCCACGAGGTAAGGAGGCATGGGGTTTGACAGAATGACAGTTGACTCCATTTGGTGCATTTGGTGTTTACACACCAGACACAAGACATGAAGTTGATGGGCAGGCCTGTATGATCTCAGCCCCGACACCTCTGGAGAGTGCCTGAATACCCAGCAATGGAGGAGGCTAGGAGGAAGGGAGCTGGTGCCCACCCTCACTGTGCTGTGAGCCAGAGGGCTCAGTGCCCACATTGACTGCAGCTGTGGGTACTTCATGCCAGGGCTGGCCTTGGATGCTGACAGTCATAGGCTTAGCTTCTCTGGCTCATGGTGTAAAGGCAGTGACCTTGTCCTCTCCCCAGAACCTAAGGGGTGGAATGGGAATAATTGCACGTGTCATTTGGTCTGCCTCTCCCATGTTCCTGCCACCTTACTAAAACCCTCAGAGGCTTTCCAACCTTCCAACCTGCTACTGGACACTTCCCTTCACCCAAGGCTGTGTTTCTACAGAGCTTTGCAGCCTTCCTGCAGGCCCCCCTGCTACCACCTCTCCTCTGAAATCCTTGTCTCACTCATATGGGACGCCTACAGATGTAAGAGCAGAGGGCAAAGAGGTGGCAGGACTTGGCTGGAGTCCCCGGGGCTGGGAGCAGCAGGACTAGGCCTTGAGTTCAGGCCTCTGCATTCCCAGATGGAGCGCTCCCTGGCTCAGCCACCTGCCCCCTTGCACTGTTGGACCCATCTTTGCAGGGTCTGTTACCTGTCTCTGAGTCTTTATCACGGCTCCTGGAAGGCAAAGAGCACTGCTAACATCTCTTGGGGTGGGGGTCTGGGTATCCTGAGTGGCAACAAGCATGCAGGGGTGCCCAGCAACCCACAACAGAAAGAAGTAGTCCCTCGCTCCAGAGACCACTTCTCCGTGGAGACTGATGCATTGAGTTGGTGACTCAGAAGGTTCAGGTTGGGGAGCTGAAGGGCTAAGGTGGGGCAATGAAAACAACCTGCCCTGGGGATCTCAGTCCAGGCTTTGTAGGGCTGGCACCAGTATCCTTGGAGATGTGGGCCTTTCTGGGCTTCAGGTCCCCCATAGGTCCATGGGCTGGCGGACCCCCCTGATCTCTGGTATCCTGTGGGTGCTACCTGTCTCCCCGGCAAGGTTCTGGACAGAAATGGACAGAACTGGAAGTAGCAGTGCATTACCCCTTGCTCCTGACAGATCTGTGTCAGTCTCTCCAGCTGCTCGTCTTGGATGACCTTGGCCTTCTCATACTGCTGGATGACCATCTCCATCTCTACTTTCACCGGCAGGACATAGGCTGGAAGACAAAGACAGCCCTGTGAAGACCTTGGCAGTGGCAGGGCTCAGCCCAGCATTCAGCCAGCAGCAGGTTCCAGGCCTATTCCCTGAGGATCGGGGGTCAGGTAGATGGGGGAGAATCATGTCCAGGCACCCAGCAGCATCGAGAAAGTACAGAGGACAACAACTTTAACTCACAGTGTCCAGGATAGTGGCTTTTTCTCCTTTCCATAGTGATAGAAGCCTGACTTTTGGGCTGTGTGCTCAGCTGCCTGGAATAAAGACTATTTCACAGCCTCCTTTGCAGCTGGAAATAGTGGGCCAGAATAGCCGGAAAATATGGGTGGGCCTAAGAACACCTTCTGAACAACAGGATGCTAGTGGGGGTGCAGTGCAGCAGCTTCCAGAAGCCTTCCTTCAAAAGTAGCTGGGCTTGGGGAGGGCGCGGCAATACCAGAACCCACATGTGTTGCTGGCAGGAATGTAACATGGTGCAGCTACTTTGGAAAATAGTTTGGCAGGTGTTAAACAAGGATCAACCATCTGACCCAGCAGTTCCATTCCTAGCTACCTAAGAGAAATGAAAATATATTCTACACACAAATTTGTAGGTGAGTGTTCATAATAACCAAAAAGTGGAAGCAGCACAAATGTTCAGCTGATGAGCAGATAAATAGAATCTGGCCTATGTGTGCAATGGAACGCTATGTGACAACTGCGAAGGAAGAAGAGCTGACGAATGCTACAAACACGGCAAACCTGAGAACACTGTGCTAAGTGGAAGAAGCCAGACTTATGTATCATCCGATCCCTTTGATATGAAAGGTCCAGAACAGGCCAATCTACAGAGCTGGAAAACAGATTAGTATTTGCCCATCTGTGAAGTGACTGCTGGTGAATATGGGGTTTCTTTCTAGAGGGAGAAAAATGCCCTAAACTTAGACTTTGGTGATGAATACATGAAAAACCATTGAATTGTGGACTTTACATGTGAATTACATCTCAGTAAAGAAGTTTAAAAAGAAAAGGCAGCTGGGGCCTTTTTGCCTCTTTAACTTCTTCCTCCGGGCCTCCTTCCTTTTGGTTCTAATGAGGATGTGATGGCTGGCACTGGAGCAGCCATCTGGGACCACGAGGAGACTTTGAACAATAGGCCAAGTACAACAGAGCAACAACATAGAAGGAACCTGGGATCTTGACGGTGGGGAGTGAGTGCCATAACAGCTTAGGACCACCTACCATAGTGGACTTTTATGTGAAAGAAATAAACTTCTACTTTGTTTAAGATACTCTTTTTTTTTTTTTTCAGTTGTTGGCTGGGGCTGGGTTTGAACCCACCACCTCCAGCATATGGGGTCAGCGCCCTACTCCTTTGAGCCACAGGCGCTGCCCTGTTTAAGACAGTCTTATTCTGTGCCTCTGTTACTTGGATGATCCTATTTATAATTGATACACAGTGAGATCCAGGAGAGAAAACCTGAACTCTGAGTTTGAGGCCCCCATGGTCTGTCAGCCAGCAGCAGTCCCATGGACCTGTCTGGTGGTAGTACTCCCTCGGAAGTCTCAGTATCAACTCCTGACCTTGACCAAGGCTTATCCTTCACACTCTTCTCACACCTCTCAGAATCCAGCCCTTCCTGGCTCTTCAGAAACCTCAGTTACATGTCTCTTGCCACTGAGTTCTAGAACCCTTCACATCTCACCCTCCAAGTTCCCTCCCCACCCACAGCCTCCCCACCCCCAGCTGTTCTCTGGATATTATAAGAATCATGTAGAAAGCAGAAATCAGGGATTTTCTGTTTGCTTCCAGACTTGGGGGCAAGCCATGTGTCCCTAACACCCACCCGCAGGCTCAGGGGTTGCCCCAAGCAGCTACCACCTCAGATTGCTGCTGAGTCCAGTTCACACCCAGGGCGAGAGTATCAAATTAACGTTCATCTGTTCACCAGCATGTCTCTATCATGAAGCTCCCTCCCAGTGGCATGGCAATGCCTGATGTGTCAGGAAAAAAGGAGTGGGGACAGCAGGGAAGAGCCTTCACTATGGGGGCTGTCAAAACCCATTACTGTGAGAGTGTGCAGCTGTCCACAGCTGGCAGGAAGAGCCAGAAGGCACTGTTCCTGACCTGAGGGGAGCGGATGTTCTCATGGACAGAGCCAAGAACAGGGCCCCAGCAGATGGGAGAAGAAGGAACAGCCAAGACGAGCATGGGTGGGCCTCAGGGGTCCTGGGCTCCAATTCTGTTTCTGTACCTGATTCACTGTCTGACCCTCATCCCTCTTGACCTCAGTTTCCCCATGTGTCAAATGAAGGGAGTGGACTAGATGATCTCCTGGAGCCTTCCCAGCCTCCAATGTCTTCCAAAGTTGGACCCAAACTCACTGCAGTTTGATGAAGATTCTATGTTAGGGGCTCTCAGTATTCACAGGGTGGGAAATGGGGGTGGGGACCAGTGAGAGGGTGTCCATCTTGAGGACAAAAGACCCTGTAGGCCACCTGCCTGCCCTGTACCGACTGGGCAAACACTACTGGAGTCTTCTCATGGCCACAATTTCTATCACTTGTAACCAAAATTGAGGGCTGGAAGAGACCTTAGCATCCCTACCATGGCTTGAAAGCTATGTTCTAGAAGGCCTGGCAGTTTCTTAGATGTGCCTTGGGGGGCAAGGGTGAGAGCAAGGAGGTGGGCTCTGGGTCAACCAAATGGCCCCACTCCAGACCTACTTTACACATTGGGTAAGATGTTATAAAAGAAAAAAAAAAGGCTTAGGAGTCATTATCTGCGCCCTTTCTGGTCACTCTGGGCGGACCTCTCTTGGAGAGGTTGACCAACCTATTTACAGGTGATTTTGTGCCTAGTCTGGCTGAGGTGAGATGGGCCTCCTAGTCATGTCCTCAGAGGCCAAGGACTGCCCTCTGGAGCCCATTGACTGGGGTCTTCCCTCTTTCCTAAGACGACTTCAGTGCCCTCCCTGTGTTCTGGTCCTCTAGGTCACCCCAGCCCAGGACTCAGCACCATTCTTCAGGGATAAGGTTTTCTGTTCCCTCCCCAGCCAGGTCTCCCTCCTCTAGGGGACACACTCTGGTCTGCCACCACCTTCGGGCACGGATCCCTGGTGAGGGTGGGGAGTGTGGAGGCCATCCCGCCACTGGTGGCAGCAAAGGCAGTAGCAGAGGAGCAGATCAGACTCTGGGAAGGAGACTCAGAGACAGAATGTGTCACTGAACGTGAGCAGAACGTGAGCTGAAACCCAGCCAAGCCAGCAGCTCCCACAGAAATGTTCTCTAATAGTTTGTAGGTTGACAGGCTTGGGGACACCTGGCTTGTCCTTGGTGGATGCAAGGTGGGACAGGCCCTGCAATGGCACCACAAGATGACCTGGACAGAGCCCGTGGGAGGTCTGGAGGCCAGCAGGGAGCCAGCGGCAGGCGTGCATCAGACACCAGGGTGTGAAAAGCTGCTCCTCCCAGGACAGCAGGCCCTGCTGTAAGTACTCACATGGAGGCTGGATGCATGAGCACCATGAACAGCCATGTCACAGTGAATGTGTGACCTCTGAATAGGCTGGGGGGCACCTCAGCGTGTGCCTGTGACGCCTGTGCAGGCCAAGTGAGAACGCAATGGGGAATGAGCAGGACAGCCCTGGGTCTCTTCACATCAACAGTCTTACCCTCCACCTCCACGTGGCGGGGCCACCCTGCATCATACGGTCCCTCTCTTCTCTCTGGTAATGGCTCCAGCTCCTAGAGCACCCCTGTGCTGCCCCTGCCGCCCCAGCGACACCTTTCGGGGCACTCACCATCAATGACCCTCTTCACCCGCCAGATCCGGAGCATAATGATGAGGCTGATGGCATCCCAGGGGCTCCTGGGCCCATTGGCTACAGTGGATGCCACCATCGGGGCCAAGGACAGGATGATCACAGCCCCGTCAAACACCTGTGGGACAAGGCATATTTCAGCATTCAGGGGTAGGGACCAGTCAGGTAAAGCAGCTGGTGCTGGCTGACTTCCTCTGGGGCCTGGACCCCTATCAGAAGATCACCCCATCCCTGACTACCCCTCCTCACCCGCCTCCTAGATGTGCTCCTGAGGCCTCTGTCCTCCAAATGACTGTAGCCCATCTCCAGCCCTTAGTCAGATGGTCTATAGCAGTCTTGCCCCTTCTCAGGATGGGACCTGAATTCCGTGTCCCAGCAGGGTTGGGGCTGAAGGCAGGCACGGGTGCCTCCTTCCCTGGGGGAACAGGAGCCCAGGGCCCACATCTTATCTCTGTCTAAAGAAGAATCCCAGACCCTGCTGGTGGCAGGGCTAGGTGAGGAGGAGTCCAGCCTGCACAGTTATTAAGCCTTGGGCCCTGGTCTCCACCTGCCTGCCCAGCCTGGCCTTCATCTGCACCTCTCATGGGCCAGGCCCTCTGTGTCAGCTTCCAGCATTGAGCCCAAAGAGGCTAAGATGGATGGAGAGTTGAGGAAAGAGTGGCACTGACCATCTTGCCTTGGGCTGTGTGTACAAACTGCCAGCAGCACCCCATATCTCCCACCCACCCTGCGGACAGGAAGCGGAGTGGAAACCCAGGCTGAGAAGTGCTTTTACAATTTCCTGCCCAGCTCTTCTTTCAGGGTGGATTTGTTTTAAAATACATTTCTAAAGCTTTTCAAATTGATTCAAAAATATATTTTGAAAGTTTGCAGAACTTTAAGGATATTGCTTAGAATGTCCCCTTGCTGAAAACTGTCTCAGTTTGCCTCTCCCCCACCTCCCCCTCCTCCCCACTCAACCCAAGGTGCACAGAGGAAGAGGTTCCAGTGGTCAAGTGTGGGGGAAAGCCCGGCTTTCACCCTGGAATGCATGCGACAGTGACATTTTCCAGCTTCCAGGATGATGGTTGGTTTGGGGGTTGGGGGTAGACACTGGTCTTCACCTCTATTTTGTTTTCAATGTAATCCCAGATCCCAAGTACCACAATCCGCAGAATAGTCTGAGGAGAGAGAGAGAAAAGAGCAGTTATTGTTCTCCGGCCCCTCCCCAGGCAGAGAAGACTCTAGAGCTCAGAATGCAGAGCTCTGTGTCCTGGCTCAGTCATGTAGAAAAGCCTCCACTGTCTGGAAGCCCTGTTCAGCCCCTTCCCCAGCTCCAGAGCCACCTCTGGCTCCTCTGCTCCTCCACACATCCTTGTGACACCCTTGGGCACACCCAGCACCATCTGTGCCTGCCTCTGTCAGAACCCTTCAGAGCTCCTGGTACAGAACACACTCCAGATCCTTTGGAATGATACTTAGGACTCTGCCTCCCTCTCCTGCATCCTCTTTTCCACGCTCTTCATACCCTAAACCACTTAGAAATATTCAAACATTCAATCTCTGTCTCCTACCTACTTGTCTTTGCATGTGGCCCAGGCTGCAGTTGACTCCCCTCCCAACCCCCAAACTCTTCTCTCCCACAGTGATGGAAGCCTCTGCATGGCTGCCTGGTGAAAGACTATATTTCCCAGTCTTCCTTGAGCCCAGGAGTGGCCACATGACTACATTCTGGCCAATGGCTGATGAGCAGAAGCTCTGTGTACAACTTCTGGGTCGTGGACCTAAATAGCTTCAACTCTTCTTCCACTTTCTCTCTTCCCCCAAACTAGAACATGGGTGTGTAGGTGTGATGGTAAGCCATCTTCATCTGAGGGTCAGGCAACAAGGCAGAAGCCCCAAGACACCACGACAGCCTTGCCTGGTTACCCAAGGAGTTCTTCCCTGAGTGAGCAAACACATGCCCCAGTGAATGCAGCCAGTCTCCAGGTTACAGATGAGATAGGTAGTGCAGCTGAATTTGCTTATAAGTTGGAACAGGTACATTTACCTATTACCTGTAACAATCTCCATTTGTGAATTCTAAGTAAGTTGGATATTTGTAACTCAAGGATGGCCCATGATTCCTAAATGCTGCTGCCTTCAGGAGTGGTTTCCTCAGCAAGACTACATCTTTCTCTGAAGAAGCTTCTTAAAAGCTGGTTTTATGTGATCCTGATACACTTTTCTGTAGCCCCTTCCTTGAGCAATGATGACTTTAATGCACAGTAATTCACACCAACTGTCCCCTTTCCACATGCCTGTGGTACAAGGCCAGCCTGCTGCACTCAGTGAAGCCGCCTACACTCCATGGATCATCACCTATACTTGTTATGCCACAAAAAGGCTTGGCTGGTAAAATCTCCCTCTTCCTTATAAAGGATGATCCTCACTTCTGTGAAGGGTTGAGAAGGTGGGATCTTTGAGTACAGTGAGGGATGTGTAGCAGCTTGGCATCCACTCCTTTATGGCTTCCCAATCTCTGGGTTGCTGGACCTATGCTTAACTGCAAGACAGGTCCCAAGGGTGGGAAGAGATCTGGTTGGGGATCCAAGATATCTTGAGGTCACAGCTCAATACTGGGCTATTTTTGTGGCTTTGGGAAAGTCAGCTCCCCTCTGTGGGCCTCAGTTTCTCATTCTGCCAGAGAGGTAGGTTACATGACAGAATTCTTCTAATTATTTATGAGAATAACATCTGTCATGTAGTATATGCCAATAAATGCCAGACCCTGGGACAGGGCTTTTCACCTGTGATTCTCATTTTACAGAGAAGGTTGGAGAGGTTAAGGAAGCTGCCTGATGTGACACAGATTGTCAGCGATGAAGTCAGTATTTGCACCAAAGGTTTGCGGCTCTGAACGTGCCCAAGCTGTGTGAGAATGCCGCATAGTGTCCTGATTTCTTTGGCTGCTGTTCAATCCCTCTAATTGTGCTGAGGTTTAAACTTGGTATTTGTCTCCTCTGAAATGCTTCAATAACCCAAACTCCCAATTTTGGGGCTCCCAAAACAGAAAGTCCAGGTTAGGACAGAAGGGGACAAGGCCTCAACCAAGGATGATTGCTTGGTAAATACACATACCTCGAATGCAGCATCTTCACCACCGTGAAGTATACAGCTCAGTGGCACTGAGTATATTCACATGGTGCAACCATCACCGCCGTCCATCCTTAGAACTTTTTCAGCTTCCCACACTGAAACTCTGCACCCATGAAACAATAACTCCCACTCTCCCCTCCTCCCAGCTCCTGGCAACCACTATTCTACTTTCTGCCTCTGTGAATTTGACTCCTTTAGAGACCTCACACAAGAGGAATCATTATGCTTCTCAAAAAACAACAGTCTTCTTAGCTGAAAAGGTTGTGGCCCCGGGGCTTTGGGCTGGGGGATGGGGAAGGGAGCTGGTCGGGGGAGCACAGAAAGCAGTACATGTGGAGTTCCAATGCTTCCACAAGGGACAGACATTGAATGGTTGTATGGGCCAGAGTGGGGCCAGAGAAGCAAGCGGAGCAGCTGGATAGCTGGCCACCTGCCTCTCTTCTTGCTGGCCTGTCCACAGCCCACCTCCTCCAGGAGCCTTTCCTTCCTAGCTCAGCCCACGGCAACAGAGCAACAGAAGGCAACTGTGGGGAGGGCTCAGGAAACACCCTCCTGCCCCTAGAGGGGAAGGGAGGCTCAGAGTCAGGGTCAAGCCAGAGTGAGAACCCAGCTCTGAGACACCCCACCTCAGGAGGGGGTGGAGGTTAGGGGAGTGCAGTGGTGCCTGGCTCAGGGGAGCAGGCTGGCCCAGGGAACTCCCACCTGGCACTCCGGGCTGACCCTGGCTCCCTCGTCAAGAAGCAGATCTGCTCTTGGGCAAGTTTTCCCTGGGGTTAAACCAGAACGGCAAGTGGAACACACTGATTCCAGGATCCAACTACAAGGTAAAACTAAGAACATAAGAAATTTTGCAGGGGCTGAAAACTGTCACCAGTCTTGAACTGCTGAGTAAAGGAAAAGTTTGCCAGGTGACAGGTGCTAGGGGAGGGTGATGATTGCAGGACAGCACAAGAGCGCCCCCTGGGATTAGATGTTGCTAAAACAGGAGCAGACCCACCGGCCTCCTTCCTCTTTCATGCCTTGGCGTTCACTCCTGCCCAGTGTGACATCTGCTTTTGGGGTCTGAAGGTGAACCCCATGACCAGACATCATAGCTGATGGGCTCTGGGCTCACAGGGAAACTGACAGCATCGGTGTTGGGTTCATTTTGGCACCATATTCCCAGCTACTTTAGAAGAAAGTGTTCAAGTTCCCCAGGGAGGATAGAGCATGGGGTGGTGGACGCATGACCAAATGTTAGCCAGTTATAGGACTCAGGTGGATGCTTGGAGCACGGTCCCAGACCTTGAGTAAGGAGGAGAGGGACTGAAATACACAAGATGTATGAGGCTTACTTCCAGAATTCCTTTTAGCATACGAGCACGCTTCAGTCTCCAAACCCATGTCTCCCCTGTCCTCTCTCACATTCCCCCAGGCAAAGGTCTTCTTAAAACGCACCTCTGCTTAACAGGCTGCACCTGCAGTCTGACCTAAGCCCCCTGCTCCAGTAAAACTGCTTACCTTAGTTATCCACGACCTCTTGTTGCCAAATCCAGTGAGTAACATCTCGTTATTTCTCTAACTTACGTCAGCCACGCACGGTGCCACAGGGGCCGTGCTGAGAAAGGGCTCCTTTTCATTCCAGGATACCCACACTCTGGCCTCTCCACCTCCCTGGCTACACTTTCTCAGTCACCGTTGCAGTTTTCCTTTCCTCTGTCCATGCCAGGGCTCCAGTTTCTTCTTTTCCCAGTTACTCCCCTCCGTGGAAAAAATCTCACTCTTAGCTTCTCTGGAGCCCCTTAAATTCACCCTTCTGGCTTCTGTCCTGGGCAGCAGTTTCCAGCTTAGCAAACAGCATCACCACCCCTGACTGACTAAGCCAGATCCCCTCCCTGTTCCCCACACAGATCAATTCCCAAGTCCAGCCAAGTTTAGTTTCTTAATCTCTCTCCAGCTTTTCCCTTTCTCCATTCTCACTTCCACTTTTTTGTTCAAACCTGTCACCAGCTGAACCATACCTCCTAACTGGTCTCCGAATTCCAGTCTGCCCCACACCTCCAGCCCCTGCTCTACCCCAGCTGCCGGGATGACTTCTGTAAAGCATCAACTTCCCCACGCTCCTCTCCTGCTTAGAACCCACCTCCTCACTTGTTGAAAGGGTTGTCGTTGTCATAAATCCAAGCCTATATCGCTACATCATCTCTTCCTCACCAGCTCTCCAAGTTCCCATTCTAGAATTTCCGACTGGGACCTACATGTCTTGTCTAAATGTATACAGTACTGTCTCAGGGTGTGAGCCTCTGCTGTTTCTCATGTAGAACTCCTTTCTTTTCTTTTCTTTTTTTTGAGACAGAGTCTCACATCACTGAGGCTGGAGTGTAGTGGCCTTATCATAACTTACTGCAGGGAGTACAAGCACCTGCTACAATGCCCAGCTAATTTTTTCTATTTTTAGTAGAGACAAGGTCTCACTCTTGCTCAGGCTGGTCTCGAACTCCTGACCTTAAGCAATACTACTGCCTTGGCTCCCAGAGCGCTAGGATTACAGGCATGAGCTACGATGCCCCACCAGACATGTGTAACTCTTATCTGTATACTTTGAAGAAAAGCTTACCAATAGCAGGGAAATAATCTGTCTTCTGGGAGTCTGACAAAAATCCATTAAATCAGAATAGTTTAAGGTAAACAAGTTTCATAGTGAATTAATAAAAAAATTCAACTCAATCTATTCTCTGTTTTAATGTTCAGACTCTCAATTTCCTTACTAGTCAGTCTTAAAATTCATTAATAAAATGTTTTGATTTATTAAAAACATGCTAAGACAATAGCATTGAATTGAGCTCTTCTGTGAGCCAGCAGGACAGAAGGATATCACCGATTTTGGTAATTAGTTCACTGGGTTACTCTGTTAGCCCGACTTCATGGCTAGCCATCTGACAAATACAAATACCTCTGCTAATCTGAGGTAAGACAAAGATACCAAAACTGTGTTTTACTTTTTGAAATTAAAAAAAGACAATATTTCTGAAAGAATAAAATTAAAATGTCACTGAGACAGTGA